CCTCTAGGCTTCTGCCAGTGGCGATGAACTTCAAGCTGGCTATTAGCCTTTGTTCGGGGGGTGTATGGCTTTTCGAAGGATTGTATCCTGCTTCCAAATGTGTGTGTGTGTGTGTGTGGGGGGGGGGGGGGGGGGCTCGAAAAAAAAACATCCTCAGGTCATTTCAGAAGTCTTCTGGGTTGTTCTCCCTCAGTTCTTGCAGTAGTGCGACATGCGAGTACATGTTGCGTCTTTTCAGCCAATTTTTGGCCCAAACTCTCCTTTTTTGTGCCCTGCGTCTGCGCTTCTCGGCCTTTTGGCTAAGATCAAGTGTAGTATCTGTTCTTATCAGTTGTCAGGAACTGAAAATGGCAAGGGTAGCCCTTTTCTCAGCATCCATGGTTTGGTATTGACCACGAAAGCTTTGCAGCCGAATTCCCGATGTTTGGGTGCATGTGACAGAATGGCCTGTCTCAGGGATATTCTGCAGCATGAGTCAAACGATCACTTCCGGCATTCGGAAGAATTCATTGGATTGATGTGCCTGTTGCACGATGTTTGGCAGGGGAATTTGTCTTTACATGATGGGGCAGTCGTACGGTAATGACCGGCTGGTTTCACAAACTTTCATACTTTCCATCTTGTTTTTGGACAACCAACATAGGCCCTGACACATCCCATAGTAAATGAGTTATTGGTTCATCGCTATACTCAGGGCTTGAAAAATTTGACGGTGTCTCACCAGTCAGTCAAAAATTTCACCAGTCAGCATGACCGGACTATAGCCTTGCAATTTATGTTAAAAAATTTTGGGGACAGATAGAGCTTTCTACTATACTCTTTTTGCACTGGGCATTAGGAAGTGTTCAGTAGGCCAATGCACATTTGACCTAGCACAACTTTGACATTCAACCGCTCATAATCACCTGAGCAGAGCGTAGGGAGCACAATCTCCTGTTGACAGTGAAATTTGGATGCCACCTTCGGGACAAACCCAAACATTGGTACCAGTACCACACGATCAGCCATGAATGTGGTAAAGGGTTCTTTACAGCCCAGCGCAGCAAGTTCCGAGATCCGCTTAGCAGAGGTCACTGCAACCAAGAAGGCAGTCTTTAGGGTGAGAAGCCAGAGAGAGGTATCCACCACAAATGCGTCCGAGGCAAGATAATCTAAAACCAAAGGTAGGTCCCATTTGGGATAAAGAAGCTTTCTAGGAGGTTTCAGCTGCAGAACAGCTTTGAAGAATTGGGAAAGAAGAAGGGCCGATGACCACTGAACCCCAGTAAAGGCCAAAATGTCCGACACCTGTCCCTTTAAGGTGCTCAAGCTTAGGTTCATATCTAAGCCTCTTTGCAAAAATTCCAAGACATGCGTGACTTGAGGTCTATCGGCTGGGAATCCTGCTGAAGAAGCACATTTTTGAAATCTTGACCATACTCGGTTATATGTCAGGTTCGTAGATGATTTTCTAGATTGCACCAGAGTGTTGATCACATTCTCAGAGCATCCTAGGCATAGTAGTTGGCTCCCTTCAATTTCCATGCCATCAGACACAACCTGTCGGGAGCGGGATGAAGGAGAGTACCCTGAGAGAGAAGGTCTTCCACTTCAGGCAGGGGAAGAGGTGGTCCCTGCGCCAGTTGCTGAAGCAAGGGATACCACGGCCTCCTGGGCCAATCCGGAATGACTGCCAAAACCCAAACATTCTGCTGGGACAGCCTCTTCAAAAATGGCAGGATCAGGGGGACAGGAGGGAAAGCATAAGCTGTCCGGAATGTCCATGTTGCCGTCAGTGCATCTGTAGCTACTGCTTACCGGCAAAGGTGTCTGGAGTAGAACAGCTATAGCTTCCTGTTGGTTGGCGAGGCTAAGAGATCTACCTCCGGTATAAAAGCCCATCTCGTGAAAAACACTCGGGAGAAGTTACCATTCGTTGTTGTCCATCGACAGTCTCGACAGGAAATCCGCCTGGCAGTTCAGAACACCGGGTTGTTGTACAGGGCCGACAAATGTAGAAGATTGACTTGTGCTCATTTCAGTATAGGTGCCACTTCCTCCAGGAGGGACCGACTTCTGGTACCCCCTTGCCTCTTCACATAAGCGACTGCGGTCGAGTTGTCCATCCTGAGGAGGACTGATTTGCCACAAATCAGTTTTCTGAACGTCATCAGAGCTTGAAAAGCCGCTCTCAGCTCCAGCACGTTGGAAACCATGCCCTTTGCGCAAAATGACCAACGACCCTGAGCCAGATGACCCAGGCCGCTGGCTCCCCAGCCGTGCTCGCTTGCATCTGTTGTAACAAACAGGAAATGAATGGGATGGAGGGAAAGACATCGATGAAGTTTCACCCCCTCGAGCCACCATTCGAGACAAGCCCTCATTGGTAGTGTAATTCGAATCCTCTGATTGAGATTCTCGGATTGCCATTGCGTCAGGAACCCGAACTGAAATGGACGGGTGTTCCATTGGGCCCATTTCACCATGGGAATGGTGGACACCATGGTGCCCACTACGTGAAGACATTGCGAGGCAGAGAGGACATCTGCAGCAATTGCAAGTTGAATTCTGCTCTGGATAGACAGAATCTTTTCCGGTGGAAGTGTGACGATGCCAAGCCACGTATCCACCCTTGCGCCAAGATAGACCAGATCTTGAGTGGGGTCTAGATGCCTTCAAATTGTATTCTACACCATCCTTGTTTAAATGATGGGTCTACCACCCATGGCCTAAGCCAAAGGGCCCTCCTGCCGGTGACGGCCGAAAGCATAATCCTAGCCAATGACTTTATCATGTCTAGAGAGGCTTCCACCATGAACGCGGAACATAATTTAATGTTCCTGAGAATATCCAAGATCTCAGATTTATTGAGATCCTCTAATAATGCCGACTCCGCATTATCCGACCAGACCTCCAAGGCTTTTGAAGACGCGGCCACCGCCATTGCCGGTTTAAAGGCTGAACCCGCTGATAAATAGATCTTTTTAGGATCTAAATCTATATGTCTATCCAGCACGTCTTTAAATGACACTGCATCATCCAGTGGCAAGGTAACGTGTCTAGCCAACCTCATTAAGGTTACATCCACAGTGGAAGACTCCTCCAAGCATTTAACATCCTCCCTCTTGAAAGGGTATAATTTCGAAAACCTATTTCTAAAAGACGACTTTTTGTCGACCTGACCCCATTCTTCAAAGATAATCTCCTTTATTTCTTCCATAAATGAAAAAGAAGAAATTCCTTTCTTGCTCTGCTTAAAGAAGCATTTTCTCTTCTCTGGTTGCTCAACCAGATCTTCCCAAAGCAAGGCTTGTCTAACTGCCCTCACAAAGGGCTGAACAAGAGCAAAATCGAAACCATCAAACTGGTCCGCTTCTTCTTCAGATGAAGAGGCACCCTCAGATCTCAAGGGAGATCTTACACCGGAGGACCTTTCCGTCCGCGTAGAACGCACCCCTGAGGGTCCAGGCACCGGGTCAGCCTGTGGCAGTGAGCCTTGTGTAGGCTGAGACTTGAGGGCAAACTCTTTCAGAGAATCATCAAAGACCTTTTTCATCAAAGAAATAACTTGCAAGCTGTCAGTCTGCTTGTCTCTAGTTGCATCTAAGAAACATGCTTCACATGCCATCTTTCCTGGTAGTGCTGTGTTAGGACAAGCCCAGCATCCAGTCAGAGGCGGTTGAGGGTGATGCCGATGGGTAGAAGGCCTAGAAGTGCGTTGGGGGCCTCTTGCAGAGTTAGCTGGTTCGGGCCTATCCCTATGCCTGGAATGCGTTTCCTCCCCAGATGGGGATCTGTGCCTGACCGACGAAGAAGAAGATCTCCGAGCATGCCGCGATGAGCGGGAGGGTTGACGAGAAGATCTGGATGGACTGATAAGACAGACAGCAGTAGAAAAAACATCAGATAAAACGCCAAAAATTAAAAAGAAAAAATCAAAAACTTTTTTTTTTTTCAAAACTAAAAGCTGGGAGCCGCCGCCTTCTTGAGGGGCTGATTTTTCAAACGGCATGCTGAAACATACATGAGTACATTTTGGGAACCACAAGTTTTAAAATATACAGATGGATCCCAATTCAGGGACAAAACATACCTGTAAGTGCAGTATGGCAGAGACAGCTGGGCAAGGCAGGCACACACAGAGTGGAAGCTCCAAGCAGCAGCAGCAGCAGCAGCAGCAGCAGCAGCAGCTAACTTCAGATGACAGATTTTTAAATTCTCCGCCAAAATTAGAAGCTCCGCTCACTCCGATTCACACCGCCGCCATTGCGCATGCACCGGCCTCCCGCCGGCACTTCCGCACAGCCGTGGAGCGCACAGCATCTCTGTGCGTTCCACACACATGCTGCGTAATCCACCGCCGGACGTCCGTTGCGGACGTAAATGCGGCAAGAATAAAAAACGGCCATACCCCAGAACCCTGTACCTTGTACAGGAACGGTCTCCCGTGTACCAGCAGCGGGATCACGCAGCCCTAAGCCGTTGGAATGGGCACAGCGCAACAACACCCCAGGGCACAGATGGGATGGACAGCAAGAGGTTTACTCCCGCAGGTAGGCAAACGGCTCCAATCCTGTAGAAAGAGGAAAAAAGAGGAACAGTGGGGATTCTGAGAAGCCCAAATGTATGAGTTACCATCCTGTTAAAGAGGAGGAGGGTGGGATTAACCCATTGTGTGCTGACATGGAGCTGACAGGAAAACAGCATTTACATGTATACATAATTGGCTTACATTTCACAGAGAGGTCTGAAGTTTACTGCTATTTCTGCAAGTTTTCCTATCTCTGGTTCATCTGGAAGGTTCTGATAAGAGCAGTTGACCTCACCCCACTGTAGGTATTCTGAAGTTTATGTTTAAGGCTGGCCGGAGAGCTAGCATATATCCTTTATACCACATGAACAAAGGTTTTGTTAATTGCGGAAGGAAGGTGTTTAGTAAAGGACAAAGGTTGAAATCATAACTCAAGTCACCTGACACTCCTACATTACGTATGTATATATAATCATTCCGCTGTGTGAGTTGTTCTCTGTTCCACAGGTGACTTTTCTAGGTGGACGATACCAACTGACCAGCCATGGCGTTTGTTCCAGCTCAGGGATACTATCCTTTGTACAACCCAGTAAGTGTCAACTTCAACCTCTTTGACCACAAGGCACAGTGGTCTGATTGCATTTTGCGCATAATCATTAACTCATAGTAACCGGACCACCAGATTTCATCCACTTAGATTGGTCAGAACAATGGAAGATGGTGGGTCACTGCACTTCGTGCCTAGTTGACTTTCCTAAATAATCCAGTTTGCCCCTTTTTTTTATAAGGCAAATTGCATAATGCTGTAAACCATTGCAACACGTAGACATATTTCATTAGCCTGATTGCACAATGCTAACAGTGGATATTTAATTGGATCTTTTGATGGCTTTAATTTAAATTATTATAGTATATAGATCAGACAGTCTGGTTTTCTAATTTCCTGCACTTTGGAAGATTTCCACTTATCCTGGGATCATAGATTGGATTCCTTTCTATTTTCTGTGTATTGGGGCAAATCTTGATATGTGCGGGTGACTTTATTGTCACAAAAAAATTATGTTATTTGGAATTTTCAGAACTAGGTTAAAGAGAACCTTTGCTGAAAGAGGAAACACAGGCTACCAAAGCCAACTAGTTGCTTGGCTATCATGCTGACTCTCTGACTTCAATGCTCTGGGACACTAACCCAGAACAAGTATACAAATAAGAATTTCTGACTTTTCTTTGAATTCCCAATGTGCATATTTGTTTGAAGGTTAGTGACTAGGAAAATGCTTTAACCAGAGGGTCAGCTAGGCGACTAGGACTTTCAGAAAGAGGTGAGAAATGGCAGCTCCCTCTCTTAGGAGGACTACGCAAAGCCCTCGCAGATGCTGCTTATTTAAGCAAATACTTTTTTTGGATGCATATAATGGTCTACTTGACAAAGAGCAACATTTCCTTGAGTGATGATTATATGTCAACCGCTTAGCATTTGGCTATCAAAGTGAATGCTAAAAGCATAACTAAATCCATGAACAAAAATGTAGAATATTGAGCTTTACCATTCCTTAGATGCGGTGGCTGCTTCAGTTTGATTTTTTCTAAGGCTAAGAACATTTTCAGCAGGTACAGAAAATAACTAGATCTGGCCAGAAATGCAGTGTCCTTGTTAGTTCTTGTGAGCTGACCTGGAAACATAAAAAATTGATATATTTCTTATGTGAGCTGCTATTCTCCCCATTCCCCTTGTAATGGAGATGAAAAAAGAAGACATGTTTGAAGTTCAGCCTGCGTGGCAACCATAGCTCTCTCCAGAGATACAGTGAAGGGGGGCAGGGACAGGAAATGTGTTATTTTCAGGATTAGCAGATTTATATAAAGTATAAAAAGCCTGCTAAAATAAAAACAAAACAATGCAGGTACCTCAGCTAAGGAATGGTAAGCTACATTATATAATTTTTTTTGTTTTGGAGTTTAGATACACTTTAAAGCTTGTAGCTCTCATTGACACAGAACAATTCTACAATTTTATATTTGTGTGGATTAGTTTGCATTTTGGCTGCAATTGTAAATGAACTTTTATTCACCCAGCCATCAAACGGGTTAACTGACTTCTGAGATTTTCCTGTTTTCTTCCAGCCCATCCCCTGCAGAAGTCCCATCTATGGCGGCCTACGCGCTGGGATGGCTGTCTACATTAATGGCATGATTCCCCATCACGCAAACACGTAAGAAGCATAAAAAGTGCATGTTTGTCTTCTATAAATATGCAGTGTTAACACAGGCCAAAGAATAAAGAGAGTGTAAAACTCAATGGACAACAAGAAACAATGGACAATGTTACTAAACTGAACAAGGGGAAACTGTGGACACTTGGGGGTCTATCTTTTATACAATGGGATGTTTCCATCACATCTGTTCATATCTTTTCTTATGTTTTAATTTAGGTTTCCCTCTCTAAAATCAGACCCTTTCTTTTAAAGCATACCTGCTATAAACGAGTAACCCTCCAACATTTCCAATATGTTAGCCATCCTCAGATGTGTAGACTTACTCTTAGCACCCTATTTTCAACATCATTTGGTTAAAATCTCAGTATTTTCAAATATGGTGGAGCTGGCATGTCCCCTGCCTCCCCCCAATACAGCACTCAGGGTCCCAACAATTGTCAGATCCCAACAATGTTGCACGTGTTTAGGGGACGAGGGTGGTACCATGAAGTGTGCAATTACTGAGTATTGTTGGCAATGAATGGTTATCAGAGTGGCAATGAATAGGTACTAAAGGAAAGATTAGGCATCAGGGAATGCCTAGCAAGGTGAGAGGTGGAGGTTTTTAATCTAATGATATACATACCTGCCTATGGATATGTAATTCTTCTCAGCCACTCATGTGCATCACATACTCTTGACAGATAGTACAGCCATCAGTGGCGGAACTTTTGCCATAGCGACCCAGGCGGCCGTTATGGGGCCCGGGGCACAGGGGATCCCGGCCAGAACTAGGAACAAAGGGGTCCCCCTAATGTCCGCCTGGGTTGCTATAGCAACGCAGGCTGCTGGCTGTGACTGGCGGCTGTGAGGAGGAACGCGCCGCTGTCCAGATCACTTACAACCTGCCAGTGATCTGTGCATTCCTCCTCACAGCCACTGCTGAGTCAGTGACAGGTGGGCTGGGCAAGGGGCGTAACTAGAAATCACAGCGCCCAATACAAAATTTTGCTATGGGGCCCTGTGATTTCCAGTTACGCCCCTGACAGCCATTTATTAGACCTTCAAACAGATTTACTTGCCTGTTATTGTAGAAGCAGTAACACATTAAGGTCATTCCTTTGCCCTCCCCTCTTGTAGTATGTTCCCTGTGTTAGACTGCTAACACTGTGAAAAGCTTTAGAACCCTGGCCGACTCAGAAAGTTGCCTGTCCATCTTCTAGTGTGTTTCCTGCTGTGCAGATGAGGTTAATACAAAGACATTGTTAAGTACTTTTGCTGCCTTTACGTATAAAAGCCATTCCCTGAAGTCCAGCTTTAGTACCAATGTCTCAAACACTAAAAGCATTCTGCTACAGAATAGTCTGCAAATGCACAGTATAATGTTAAAATGAAGATGGCTGCTCATCATGCAGCAATGTCACAGTTGTGATACTTGACTATTTACAAAGAACTAAAAAGTCTTTACCCGGTATGAGAAGAAAAATTAATTACTTTAATAAGAGATTTAAATTGAGTTTGTGATTTGTGACTGATTTTTGATTGGAAATGCCTTAAAATATAGTTTTCTAACAGTGAAAATGCTGCTTCCTGCACTGACACTGGACACTAGACACTGCATCAGTCTATGCTGACATAGCTGAGTAGTAGCCACACCCCTCAGCACAAGTGTCATCACACGGGCCTTTATTTCAGAGAAAGGAAGGGGGCGTGTCTAACCAGTTCTGACATAGTTGAGTAATAGCCACACCCCTCTGCACAAGTGTCATCACACAGGCCTTTATTACAGCGAAATGAAGGGGGCGTGTCAACCAGTTCTGACATAGCTGAGCAATAGCCACACCCCTCAGTACAAGTGTCCTCACACAGGTCTTTATTACAGAGAAAGGAAGGGGACGTGTCTAACTGGTTCTGACATAGCGGAGTAACAACCAAACCCCTTAGCACAAGTCTTCTCACACAGATTTGATTTGTACAGAAGGAAGACAAGGGGAGGGAGTGGGGTTTGTCTGGCCAATTCTATTGCTGAATGCTGATGACGGTGAGCACTAGGTTTGGAGCTTATTTAAAGGAGAAGTATGAGGTGAGTGCTTTTCACTCACCTCATAGTTCTAGCCGACCTGTGACAATGAGACTGTCATAGGTCGGCTCAGTAGATTGGGAAGTGAGCGAACACATACCGGGGTCGCTCACCTCTTGATCCTGCCACGGCTCTCTGCCGTGACAGGGGAGGGGCTGGATTCCCCGCTCCGATCCTCCAGCGCTGACTGGCGGTACGGACAGGAGAGGGGGCGGGTACAGCTGGCTCTGCCTCTAGATAGGCAGAGCCAGCTGTCACTCACGCAGCTGGGCGGATCCAGACATAATTGTCGGGATCCGCTTCAGCTGCGGCGTCTCAGTATACCGCGAGCTGTAGCTCGCGGTATACTGAGCTTAGGGTGATGGGAGGATGCTAGTTTGTGTCCTCCCGTTACCCTAAGGAGAACTATGGGGAAAAGCCCTAACCCTAAGCCCTGTAAAAGTTTAGTCTCTGTGACTGCACATCTATCCTGTGAATTCATTTCAGCTTTAAAGCAGAACTCTTTTTTAGTGAGTGATTGCTTTTTACTCACCTCATAGTTCTAGCCGACCTATGACAATGAGACTGTCACAGGTCGGCTCGGTAGATCGGGAGGTGACCGAACATATACCGGCGTTCGCTCACCTCTCGATCCTGTCACGGCTCTCTGCCGTGACAGGGGAGGGGCTGGATTCCCGCCACCCCGATCCGCCAGCGCTGACTGGTGGAACGGACGGGGGAGGGGGCGGGTACAGCTGTCTCTGCCTCTAGATAGGCCGAGGCAGCTGTCAGTCACGCATGCTGGACGGATCCCAGCACAATTGTCGGGATCCGCTTCAGCGTCTCAGTATACCAGGAGCAGCAGCTCGCTGTATACTGCAGCGTCTTAGTATATATACTGAGCCTAGGGTGACGGGAGGATGCTAGTTCGTGTCCTCCCGTTACCCTAAGGAGAACTATGGGGAAAAGCCTTAACCCCATAGTTCTCCTTTAAGCTGTTGAACAATCTGCATTTTGTATGGATGGAATCTTAAATCGCTCTGTAAAATGGTTCTCACTGATTCACCACTCAACCCTAACTCACTGACATGTATTCGAGAGGCTCCTAACCAGTGCCTCTGTCACCTGTGCAATGTTTTCCGGCGTCCTTGCAGTGCGGGCGGGGCCTAGTGATTTCTTGTTCATAATGTTTCCGGTTGTTCTGAAATGTTCTGAATGTTCAACAAACCTGAGGACCGTGTTGCGACTGGGAACGGCTCCATGTCAACCAACATTGAACATTGATTTCAACATTGAATTCTCGACAAAATAGCCGCTGAGTTGCTGTAATAGACTCACCACAAAGCTGTCGTAAGCAAACAATGTTGTCATGTCCACTGCTTCATTGTGACTGAATTGGCATTCCAGGAGGGGGGGCAGACACCTAGCTCGTCCCCCTGCCATCATTACTTACAGTGTACTACCTGTTCTAAAAACATCCGACTCCCGTGGCTCACGCTGTATATAATTTGTGTGCATACCCTAATTCAATAGGCTGCGCATGTCTGCCTATAAACAATATTCTATTAACCTGAGAATACATGGGCAGTTCAAAGTATAGAACCACTAAAATATTTTGAAATGGCTAATGTTGGACCAAGGTTGGACATACACTGCGGACTGAACAAGAAAAAAACACTCAATGCTGTTAACGTGGATGGGGGAATACCCCCTGCCAGTCTATTGTATTCTGACAGCGGTAGGTGTGCTGCTGTCAAAATATCTGAACAGTGACTACAGATGATTGGCTTTTCAGACCAGCTCCTTTGACAAAAGTAAATTTGCCTTAGACCAATGGGTGTATCTGTGAGGTGTGAAGGCCACCATCCTTAATTCAGCTCATTCATTTCAAATGCATATGAGATTGTGTGATGACTCTGATTGTTTTTGCTTTGTACCTTAATTGTTTTTTTGGAGACCCGTGAAATACCCAGAAATGTTGTTTTCATTAGTGAGTGTACACTGATTAAGTATGATCAAGACAGTCATCCTTATCCTTTCTTTTCTAATTATTGAGCCACTTTCCTAAAATAAGCATGCCAATCAGGAGTCTAGATGTTACTGGCTGCAACCTTGTTCTAGGTCTCACTAAGGCAACAATGGCATCACCCATATTTATTTCCTCACAATTCGCCTTGGTGTAAGACCGCATGTAGCAGTAAATGGAAGATACCGTTACTTTTTTCATTCTTTGCTCCTGTACATTTTCCAGCTGCTGTGGAATGACAGTTGGTAGTGTACACACACATGCCAGACTAATGCAGTTTAATTACTGCAAAGCTTCCCATTCTGTGAATGTAATATGTTTTTCATCAATCCCCACTGCATTTCAACACAGTTCCCCCCATACGAATCTTTCTTCTTGAATGTTTTTGAACTATCATTATCTGTGGATGTTTGCGGTATTGAAACCTGTGACTTATTCTCTCTTTTGCTTTGTTTCTATTTCACAGTTTTGCTGTCAATTTTTCTTGCGGCCAGTATGACGGCTCAGACATCGCCTTACACTTTAATCCCCGTTTCCAAGGGAAGGACAGTGTCGTCTTTAACAGCTTCCAGTCCGGTAACTGGGGTGGTGAGGAGAACAGGAAAGACGGCTTCGCTTTCCGCAAAGGGAGCCCTTTTGAGATGGTCGTTTTGATCAACCCTGGAGGTTTCCAGGTAAGGAAATCCATATAAACTTCCACTACTGCATAAAATCAATATGTACTTAAAGTCCGAGTACTTTTTTTAAAAATTTGGCTAGATTGGGGAAGGACTGGAGCTTTTGTGGGTTTCAAAATGCTGTCGGTTTTTTTTTTTTGGAACATGAAGTGAGGTTAAAGTAAAAAGAAAAAATAGCCAAAATTCTAACCCTTGTGCCAATATAGATCTAATCTCCCTTCTGGGGAGTTTCCCATCACTTCTTGTCCTAGCTTACACCCAAATAGGCTTGTGGTTCATGTTAGAGATACATCGGGTTGATTTACTAACACTGGAAAGGCTGTTCACTTAGCATAAAGAAAAAGGGGAATCTGTGTTCCCTCTGCATACCCAATTGCGTTTGATAGAAATTAAAACCCAAGATGTTTGTAAGCACATGATCTGTTGATGGAAGTGAGCACAGCTTCACCTTGGTAAGTAAACAGTCCTTACTGCTTTAGTAAATACATTCCAAAACGTTCAAATAATTATCTATTAATATAAATCAATGCAAAATCATTATTTTAAAAACTGTCATATTTGAATTTGCATCTTGGACTGGATTGAAGTTATTGAAGGTTCAGGAAGGTCTATTATAGATAGCGATCTTCATCAAGGTCCTCACTGGTGCAAAGAATGTAATTTTGGTTGTGTTTTGCTGCAAGGTTCCCACTGTCCCAATTTAGATCAAGTACCTATTTATCTCCACTTACTTTCTAGAGCCCTGAAACCCAGGGCTCTCGAATACAGAGTGACTTCTAGGACTTTAGGCTTGGTCCTGCCCCTTCTGTCTCACCCTTGCTTCAAAACTGGCCCATCACTGATAGAAGCTTCAGTGATCAATCATTAAATGTGGGAAAGGGGCAGGACCAAGCAGGGTCTTCCTAGTCAGTATTTGCATGTTAGAGCCATCTGGATTTTGTGGCCCTTGGGGGGTCTCTTGAAGATACCTGAGAAGATATGCAGGCACTGCATTCTACCTGCACTAGCACTGTGATGTCACTTTACACAGCACACCTGTGTGTGTTGTAAAGTAGCCACCTCTCCAAGCGGACTACAATCTCACGTTTAGTCAGCCAATTTGTATTGAGATTGTAGTCTATCACGGGAGCGAGCTCGGAGCGGTGACTACTTTACAACACCCCAGGGACCATGGGGAACAAAAGTAGCCACCCTCCAGAAGGAAGGACAGTGTCAGCACCAATTCAGAGATGATTTAAGGATCTACAGCCGAGTGATACACAAATAAAGATACATTATTGTTAATAGTTAAGGTACTTGAATGCATTTTTAAGATTTAACTCCTTAGTTTAGTGTCACTTTAAAAAGAACTGATTTTTTCCATCTTAGGTAATCAAACAATACGTACACAGTACACATTCCATTCCCCAATTGCTGGAGGCATAATTTCTATATTATAGGGCACCTTTGCATTTGTATTTTTAGATGAGACTTGCGCAAGAGCAATTAATTGTGTTTTTAATTAAATCTTATTTTTTTTAGTTTACAAGGTTGTTCAAGTGTCCGATGACCGCTGACTTAGGCTTAGGGTTTTGTGAACGGCGATTTATGAATATTACAATGTGTGACCATTTTCTGAACTTGAGCAGAATTGTCCAGTTGGTGTACAATTTTCAATGGCAATGCATTCTTATCTGCCAATTATCTCTTACTCTGTGTGTGCAGGTTAATGTGAATGGAGCTCCGTTCTATGAGTTCCGCCACAGGATGCCTATGGAACGGGTGGAATGTGTCCATGTGACTGGAGATGTCACTATCCAGTCCATCACCACCGTTGGAGGTGGGGTAAGTAGTAATACTTGGAGCAGCTATAATACTACAAAGCAGGTTGCGCAATGGACATGGTTGTAAGATAGGAGATAGATGACAATGGATGACAGAACAGGTTTTTTTTAAAGTAGCCCTTCCATGGAAATAATATTCTAACAGTATATTCTACATTGCTTCTTCAGCTGTGCTGTACTTTTGAAAGGTTCTGCAGTGTAGGGTCTTGCTCTGCCCACTATATGCTGCTGATTTTACCCAGGCATATACAGTATAACCTTGCTGATCAGTTGTGGTAGTTCAGATATCTGCTACTGCTGGTCATGTGATTCTTTCCTTTTTTTAGACTATATTACAAGAAAATATATGGTCTACATAATTGCACTAAGAATGCTGTAATATTTTATGAATCTAAAAGGGTGTAGAATTTACAGATCATGCTGTTTTGTTCTCATAATACAAGGTCCTCTTTTATGTAGACAAGTTAACAAAAGAGGAACAAACAGGATGTGATTCAGAACATTAATAGATGACCATTACTCATGATGATGACTAAAGTAGGGAGGAAATAAATGTACAAGCAATGTCTATCTAGGGAGAAAATGGGTAGAAGGGAAGTCACATACTAGTGATTAATACATGGATATGATAGGATCATGCTGAAGTTTGAGGCTTGTTATAATGGAATAGGTCAATAAACATTGTGTTTTTGGATGCAGATCTTATTACTGGGAGGTATATATTAACATACCTTCGATCCATTGGAGCATATGTAGGTTCAGAGGTCGATCTGTTATCTTACTTACTCTTATCTTATGCCCACGGGATTGTGTAGAGCAATCTCTATAACATGGGAGATATGGAAATTCCTGATTCACTATCGTAAATGTAGGGGAGGGGTGGTGCCATCCAGCTTCATTGGCCCAGGAGCAGTTACTGCCACTGCGCTCATGGTAGTTCTGCTTTTGTGTCCTCTGAACTATATTTTAGGATTTAGTGTCCTAATATGTTACTTGTTGACTTTTTGATAATTGAAAGGGAATTCAGGTGGAGGATGACATAAGCCAATAAGGAGAGAAAAGTAATACAGGAGGAATGTACTGGTTGAGGATTAGAGTTCAGTAGGAAGAAAGACCACAAAGCATGGAATTAAAAGTGGACCTCTGGAAATCCTCATGGACTGTCTTTGTTCAGGTCAAGCTGTATTTGGGCATCCCATATATTTACTTTCCATCTTGCCAGTACAGTTAAAAAGTCTTCCTCTGACAGTGCCTAGCCAAGAGTTAGTCAGCCACTAGTATGTATACACCAGAGGACATAATTTTGCGCTAAGGGACCTTTCACAACTGCTTGCTTTGGTGTGTTGTGTTAACGGATGCACAATAACGCCCGTAATAATGTGCAATGCATTAAAGCAACCCATTAATTTTCAGTAGGCAAAAAAAACATACCTGCTGTTTTTTTTCCAATGCAGCGCAACACAATTAATGGGGGTAAGGTCGGGGGTTGGGGGTGCACCACCTTCATAGACCCCAAAACATGATTGTGTGGCTATACAGCTACCTGATTCACTTTTACTGGATAGCTGGAAGATAGCTGATGAAAACAGTAACAAGCTCACAGCCGTGAGCTTGTTTTAACCAGCTGAGATCCAGGACATTGATGCAGATGTCAGCATTGGCGAGGTAGTAAGATCACAAAAGTTTGCTGCTGTCACGGTGCTGGAGAGGGGAGCTGTGGTCAGTAAGTCTGCAATAATGTGTAAAAATGCTGTGTATAGTACCACACTATGGCAAAAACCCTATGCACCAGTGCAGAATTTATGTCCACTTTAAGCACAACTAGAGATGAAGGAAATTTGATAATTATATATGGACATGGCAGAAGTCATATTTGGTAATTACATGTGCAGGCTCTGCAATGGCTGTGCATTGCCGATCCTCTTATCTCACTGCAAGTCTTCCACGCCCATTAGGGCCAAGATGTGTTGTCTGTATAAAGCCCCCCCCCCCCCCCCCAACCTCCCCAACCC